TCAAATGATGGTCACCGTAAAGAATACATTCATGGCATGATTGTGACAAAAAATCATGTTTCCATCGCGCCATTTGGCTGTTTTATGGAAGAAACAATCTCAAAAATGCCATTTTCGATGATAACATTTTAGACACAAAAACTGTGTTTTTTAGAGAATACACCCTTTTATGGGCGTTGGATGCAAACCAATTTTTATCCTATTAAACAGTACGTAATATGCTATTGATGAGAGGAAAAATCATCAAAATGTAAGTGGTGGAACATTTTCAAATGTTGGGTTGAATTAGCCTATGGTTGAATTGCCGATTTTCGACTTTCTTTAGATAATTAACAAAAAAACGAGAGTATTTGCTCGGTATGTTGAGAATATGTACACAGATATGAAAAAAAGTGAGAGAAACACTTTTTCATAAAAAAAATCCAAGATGGCTACTTCACAAGTCCCCGTGGTTGAAGACATTGGCTGACAAATAGACAGAACAACAAACAAAACGTGTTCCTTATGATTTTGGTTGGTTTTCGCATTTACGGGAGTGTTCATAGCTACGGGCGATTGTATAATACCTATATTTATAAGTTTGGTTAGTCACATGGTAACGGGGATCTTTCATATCGAGCCCCAAACATACTTTCGACATATGCACTCCGTTGCCGCATGGAAAACTATTTCAAGTTTTGTCGGAATTTCTTTACCTGTGGTTGTAATGGTCGAGGGTTTTCCAGCGTCCTGTAATACCCAAGGTAGTACAAGATACTGGAGATGTGCGCACACATTCCCATCGTTCTCTCTCCAACTGGGCACTGGCAGTAGTAGTCCTTTATTGGGGCCTCAACATCGGGTGAAACGGTGAACCGTATCCAAACGTTATATTTCGTTTGGCTTTTGTGTCGAGAATGTATTTGACATCGGAGAAGGTCTGGGGAGTGCTGGTAAAGCCACACCTCATAGTCTCCGTCATCACTTAAATGTTCGGCGATGTAACCAGGAGCCAGAGATATCTGATACGTTCCACACGTAATGGTTCTCAAGTAATCAAGATCGAGACGGGGAAACAGTACGGAAGATGCATCCATCTTGACAAACTCGGACCTTGCCCGTCTAGATAGATCCGGATCTGTCTTGACTCTCTGAGCTAAACCATTCGGTGTTGTCAAACGGTCCTTCATACGTTCAGCCATTAGCCTATCTTTGGCATCTCTCTCTGGAGATCTCTGGTAGATCGGTCCTCTAATACCATTCAGACAGGCTGTGACGGTTCGAAGCAAAGCCTCGATGACATTGATAAAGCTGTTAGACACCAATTGCGTTCGGAAGAACGTCCAGTGTTTCAGACGACCATGATAGGATTCCACAATCCACCTCGATTTGGTGATAGTTCTGTCAAGATTTGCTTGGACGTCAGAATGTTGACTTTGACCGGGTTTCAGGTATGACGGCATGCTAGCATTGAGGCCAGAGGCTTCGAGAACTGGTAGGACATCTCTAAAACCTCGGTCAACGACAACGTTGTCGTCTGGTTGTAGCCAAGTAACTAGCTTGTCCATGACTTTTTTTGTAATTGTAGCATCATTTTCGCTGCCAGTGAATGGTCCTACTGTGTCCAGAATGTAGCCATCTGGTAAGGCGATGCTCATGAATTTGAGATAGTTTCTCTTCTTCTGGCCACAGTAGGACATTCTCTGGAGCTTGTGGTCGGAGCTTTTCTGGATATAAATATAGGTGCCATCTAATATGGCAGTGGCTTTATCTCCAAAAAATGCTTCTGAAAAGACAGTATTGTGCCCGAGCAACTGTTCTCTTGTCAAGTGATCCGGACCTAGAAATTGTGGGACTATCGATGTGTCTAATGCCTGTACTATGGAGTGGAAAGTTTTGGACACACTTGACTTGGAAATTCCAAAAAGAGAAGAACACTGACTCCAGGAAATGTCGGTTTTCAGTTTTACCCAGAACAGTAATAGAGCATCGTGTGTAGTCTTGGTATATATACCAGATGAAAGATATGGGGAACAGTGCGAGTGGATTTCGAGGAACTGATCTTTGGACCAACCTGTCCAGGCCATGCATGCCGAGTCATCAAGAGAAGAAAAGCTTATTGTAAACGCAGACTGGTTCTGTGAAAGGACGTGCGACACCTCTAGGAGGTCATTAATGATTTCGGACGATTTTGATGGTAACTGAGATTCCAAGGAACCTCTACCATCAAGGACAACCTCTGTAGACGGATCTAAGTCGTTACCAATAAGGTGAATGGAGCAGACGCGGGATGAGGTGGGACACCACAGTTTGTGTGAATAGATCAGGTGATGTCTTGCACGTTTTGGTAAGACTGATGATTTTGTTCCATTTCTTGCAAAGGTAACAAGACAGAGACAGCATTTTTTGTGTGAAGATGATCCATTCAAAAGATCATGAAGGGTCAGCAACGGCAGGATATGGGACGGGGAGTCGTCTTCTTCCTCTATTTCCTGGTTCTGCTCGGGTTCAGGTTCAGGCTGATTTTTGTTCCGAAGATACTTCATGTAGCACTTCTGGCAAATAAGTGCTTGTTCCTTTGCTGACATCAATCCTTGTTGCACCAGCGTATCTAGGAGCCATTTATATTGTGGACTATTTACATTGCGTGCACTTCTGTTCTTATTGCCACTACGTTTCTTGAAGTATACTTGACACCCTTCTCCAACACATTTACCCTCCATCTTGAAACAATAACGATTGGTTTATGAAGCGTCGATAAAGTAACAAAATAGCAAGCCACCGATGATTGCTGTAAACAGCTAATACTTAGTAGTTTGGTACAATTATGCGAAAATGTGTGATAAATAACGAACAACTAATTACACAAAATAACAAGACAATATAATAAATCACATTCAATACCTCCAAGAAGCGCAGAATTGATTGATTACTTAGAACAAAATAAAGTATTTCATATGGATAATCTATCTATTCGATGTGGCGTGGTCGGCAGGCACAAAGAAAGTGAGACAAGTCAGGGTCCCAACCCTGACAGAGCCACAACGCTTTGGAGATGGGACAATAAAACAAGGAAAGTGAGACAAGAATAGCTAGCGTCGAGTCAATGATTCCGTAAACGTATAGACAAAGACAAGAAGATACGGATAAATGTACAAGGCCACACGATCAGAAAATTCAGAAGAGGACAACTTGAGATAGAACAGTATTCATGTATCAGGGTGTCCTCAGTGTAAATCTTTATATCGATACTGTTTATTTAGTCGTTACACATCATAAAACTGTCATGAAAATATCCGCTCTGATATTCAATATAAAAGTTTGTATATAATAAGCTATATAATAGGGTTTCAGACAAGGTTGTTACTCATTTCCCCTTTTCTTTCAATTTACAACCACATTCAGGCGGCGATATGAGAACGTTCCACCACATGGAATTAGCTGATTTTTGGTACACATATGAAACAAGTAAAGCTCTATCCGATTTTCTGATGGAAATTTGCATCCAAAACTATATAACGGGAGAAAATTGCAATTTTATGGCATTTTTCTTCATAATTGTGTCTCTGCAAGTGCATTTTCATCCGAAAATATTTTTTTTTATGTTTTATGAATAAACACGATGTTTTGGAAATATTTATCAAAAGAAATTTATACTATGTTGCGAATTACAATTTCGAGATAACCTTCTTTTATTTACGAACTTATGTCTTTGATGCTGAAATTGACAACTTTATAAAAATACATTTTCACTGAAATTATGAAATCTGGGTGTCGGAAAGGTGTAAAATTATTCTTCGGAAAAGAAAAAAACAGTAGTTGAGCTAGATAAGAAATTATACGGGGGCAGGCTCCTATGGAGAATTAACATTACTGGAAACAGGCCCTTTACTGACAACCTTATTCAAGATGGCAGTTGTTTTGTTTCTTTTTCTGTCCGAATTATTCTTATTTCAGGCTTGATTTCTGTGAAATATGTCAATAATCTCAATAAGTAATTAATTATCAACAATTTTGTAAAATAAAATATACCTTATTATTCAGTGTAAATGAAGACTTGTATAGGCACTGCCTGTTGTCTAATCCTTTTGTTAACACAATAACATTTGTTGAAACCAAAACATATACGTTGATGGTCGTAGGTGTATTATACAGCAACAGACATTTGATTACACATTGTTGTAAGTACTATGTATATAAATATATCACGAAAATAACAAGTATTACAAAATCGAATACCTTCAGTAACGGCTATCAAAATAGGCAGAGAATGCTTTGGAGGGGAAGTAACTCGTAATGTACAACTCTTAGCTGTTATCGTAGGCATATAATTAACGATAAATTTCGATACATTCTACTGTTATGATCGACCTGATATTTTGCACACAGTTAGGTAAATGGAAAATATTCATAAATCAGAAGACAGAAGTAAAAAATATCGATTAACGAATTCCCGAGCGCGCGAACACCTCCCTGGAGGCCTGGACACTCAATGATTCATTCCTCCGTGGACACTCAATGATTCATTCCTCCGTGGAAACTCAATCCACCCTCGTGAAAATAGTATTTATCGACGTATTTCGGTACATTCTACTGTTATGGTCAACCTGATATTTTGCACACAGTTAGGTAAGTGGAAAACATTTATGAATCAGAAGACAGAAGTACAAAATATTGATTAACAAATTCTCGGGCGCGCGAACACTTACCTGGACACTCATTCCTCCGTGGACACTCAATCCAACCTCGTGAAAATAGTATTTACCCACGTATTTCGGTAATTTCTACTTTTACGATTGAACTTAAATTTTGCACACACCTAGATAAGTGTACAATATTTTAGAATCAGAAGAAAAAAGAGAAAAATATCTAATAACGAACTCCCGGGCGCGCAAACACCTCCGAGGACACTCTGAGGACACTCATTAGGGTGACCGACAGTAGACAGTTTCCGGCACCACATATATACAGACCATTGATGTGGCCGGACTCGTCCCCAGGCACTAGACAGGACTCCGGATTTTTACTGTAAATACCAGTTTTAGATGTACATATAGACAGATGTAAATATCAAAGTTTTAAGCTGTATGGCCATTAAGCGCCGGAGAGCCTGGAGTAGTGACACTCATCTGATGAGTCAATTCCATAACGGGAAGAAGAAGAAGAAGCTTCATGGGCTCGGTGCGTCTTATGCAACCTTTTTCCTACTTTCACTTTTGACCGTTAAGTACAGTTGTGGTCCGAGGATACGCATTTGCATTCATTTTAATTTTATATATGTTTTATTATATCCAAATATCAATTTGATTAAAGCATTTAAAAATCACACCTTTTTATGTATCAAATACACGATAAGAGACAGTTTTGAGTAGAGTTTAATCGACTTACCAACAGGAAGCAGTTGCTTATGAAATTGGTTTATACCCAGTGAATACAGTCGTAATCAATCCATTCCACATGGCTCAACCGATTGGATAAGAGTTTTTCGTTTGTGAAAAAGATGTTGCATTTTGTTGAACTTTGACAATAACTTAAAACGCTTCCTTTGATTTTTACAGGTCGGTCAGGCTTTATCCTTATATATCACACTTAAAACTGTAGACAGACTGCGTAACCTTGTACTAAGAAGAGTGTATTTTCGTCGTTCTCTCCTAGCATAAACATTGTTTTGAAACGTCTAAATCTTTACGAGACATCAGTCAATCGCATCCCAGGACACGGACGATAGGTAAGATTTAACGGATACTAATGTATCATTATGTTATAAAACGTACCAATTATTTTTTAGGATCCATCCAATGAAATTGAAATGTTTTATTACCGTGCTTACTACATACATGTAACGTTACAATGTAGGCCTATACCGAAACGGTAGATTGATATACATCTGCATGGTTACATATACCTAGCTTGTAACCTTCTACCACTCCCTATGGTGCTTGTGTTTACAACATTAGGATAGTGATCATGTTCATATATTTTGTGTGTAATGGCATTAATCTCACCAGCTAAAATAAGGAGTCGAAGGTCTGCGTAAGTTTGTCCTTGGATGCATTAAATTGTACAAATACATAGTACTGTGTGTAGCTTACACACACATGTAAAAACGAGGGAAAATACCACTTTCAGGTTCCGGTCTTTTATTTTATGATACAGAAAAGACCCTACAATGTAAAGGAATAAAATATATAATTATCTAATCTCACAGGCAGTTGTACATTACTATTTGATATATTTATCACGATTGCATATTAACTTAAATGAGAGTTCACATACATTACATAAATATATTTACTAGGAACCATGATATGCAATATCTGGACATACAAATCATTAAATCGATATGCTGTTATGATGTTACTTGATGTATATAAATAGTTAATGATAAATACTTATTACTTATACATATAACATTTACATCTAATTAGCGATCAATACATGAGTATTCTGACACCTACCCTGACAATGGGTCAAGGGTCTTAGTAAGAATTTCGTCTGGATTACCAGGACAATGTATCAGATGAAAATATAATAAACAACTAATAAAGCAATGCTATATATTATAGATCACCTTACGATACATGAATTATAAAGACAACTGAATTCATTCATAAAACATTACGAATTCGGGATCAAATAATGGACTTTATATATTTAGATATATAAACGTTGTTAACATACAATTTGATTATAAATGATTCAAACGAGATTGCTTACAATAGAAGTGCTTTAATTGCACGTACATATTTATGTAAGAACCTACCTAAAATCTGTATCAAAACGACACTGTCATCTGTCCGCCTGCCTCTATTTAACTCCCGCCAAACACGAACAAAACTGACCACAACCACCTGAACCAAAATGACACAATACATGAACACATAAATCAATGACGTCACACAGGTAAATTGGACATACATACACAGGTATATATAACATTAGTGGCTTCTTGTCTACGACGCCAAGGTGCGGTTTCGCGCAACTCTATTTATACCGAAACAGCAGAACTAACGCGGTATTAAAATCGACCCTATTACACACATGGTAGGTACATGTTTAGGTGTCCACAGAATACCTTGTGTAATAGCTAGGATGAGGAAAAGCGATAAAGATATAGTGCCGTCGGTGGGGCTCGAACCCGCGATCCTTGGCTCTCCAGCCCGATACTCTACCGCTGTCAGCTAAAGGGAAATTCCCTACAGCTGACACTTGTGAGGCAACCTAATTAATCCACACCTTTTACACTTGTATTGAGGAGCGTAGCTGGGATTTGACATGTAAATGTTTTTTTTAGTTTAACGACAGCAAGTGTGTTTCATAATTTAATATACAAATAATACAAAATCATATGCAAAAAAAAGTAAAAAGATTAAAATGTGAGGATTTTAGCAGAAGTTTTCATCTAGTTCCCACTCACTCTGACAATATTTTATTAAATAATCTTAGAGTAAGATAAACATAAATCTATCAACTAAATTTGTCTTCTTATTGGTAGGAGGGCGGTTTAAAAAAAAAGATTATACTGAAGTGTCAACAAAATGAGAGAGTGAACTCAAAATCAATAAAACTAGGGCAATATATAAACAAAGGTATGGAGATCCTTCAAAGGAGAACATGACCAGATGTTCTGGAAGGGTAAGCGTCTTCATTGACAACTCAAGACATGTAAATCAAATCAACGTTATGTTGTAACGTCCTTTAAGTGAGAACTGGGGTATAAATATAGTGACAACAAAACCACACTTAAATGAGCATGATATAAAACATCGACCTTCATATCACAGAAAGAACAAGCGAATATCCCTATTAGATCCTGATGAGGACCATAAAACTAACCAATTGTCTTCATTAACCTGCTTCTTTAAGATAAATCAAATAATCTTTTGAATTCCTCGAAATCCATATCCCATTTATCCCACTTATCAAGTATACAGTATAATCACAATACGGCTGTTACCCTGATTATAAATAGTACTAAGAATGGTTTAAGCATAATGATTTGGTTGAGCAGAGAGATGGGCCTGCGATTAAACATGATGTATAAGGATTCTTGTGTAGGTTTGGAATCCAATACAATATTGGTATCCGGAAAGGTGTTCATAAAGAAGGGAAAGTATATGGATATGACTACCTTGGTAATCACACATGCCTAGTTCTATTTTTGCAACCAGACAATGTAATTGTATCTGAAGATAAAGATGAAAATAAAATATAAGATGCTTTGTCGGCACACACAAATACCGATTGTTATCATTCAGATTGTTGAATGTAGTTTGCACATCGGGGTCAGGAAATACAGACTTTGTATTTTGTTTTCCTTTTGGATTTCAAGCGACCAATTTCAGTTTGCCCTTGGGATCAGTATAACAACTAATAGATGCAACTGCAAGTTAAATAACTTAGTTACAGGCAGATTTAAATAATCTTAATTATTTTAGAATCTAAGTACTTCTATGGTAGGATGCTTTGTATAGGTAACTGTTGTCCCATCATAGAGACAGGGTGGTCACCTTATAATCTTCTAGCCCAATTCCAACTGATATCATATGCATACCAAATCAGGGTAGGGTGGGGCCACAGGGGCAAGGCACAGACTGACCCCCACCCCATATAAGCTTATGTAGTGACATTATATAAGCATTATACAGGGATGGGGGTTAGTCTGTGCCTTGCCCCTATGGGTGGGGCATGAGAATTACACCTTACTATGAGTAGCCTCGGAAGACGAGGCTGTTTCACTGCGGGGGGAATCTTGTTCATCGTTGTGGTATAACAACTGTTTAAAATAAGTTTGAAAAGATCTTTTTAAACATTGGAAAATGTCAAATTTTCCTTATTTTGTACTGGACCTATACAAGACATCCTCAATAAACACATTCAATTCTTTTATTTCTTGAAATTATGCTGACTAAAAAAAATTGACAAAATTATGTGTAGGCATGTGCCTACGTTACTCATGCCTAAGGTAGCTACGCTACTGATATTCATATGCTGCATTTATTTGATCAAACATAGTCTTCTTGTATCATCCACAAGGTGATGTGTACAGAGCTTTCAATTTTGTCATAACAGTCATATTCCAGGGGTGCAGAGACAGCAAGAGTAACCCCTGGAATTCCGAGGATTTTTTTCAGAATGTGGGAAAAAATGACATTCAATTGAAACTGTCTATTATAGGTGAGGTCAGGCCATCATGTCACGAGACTTTGTAGGGTTCTTGCGAGGGGTGGAGAAAATTGGTCAGGCAATGTCAGCTACCCAGCGGTCAAAGTGGCAGCACGTGTGGCACAACTCCTCTGTCAAGTTTGCGGCTGGTCAAGTGGTCAGTAAAGTAGAGGACCAAGTCAGTGGAGCCATCACAAGGCCAGATGAGTTCCAGGTAGGTAAAATAACCATGTACATCAACACTAATCTCTGCTGCTACAAAACAATTGCAGAGAAGTCGGTTATATCAGAGACCTGTGTCAAACTACATTTGTGGGTGGTATTTTTAGCTTACCTGGGACTTAAATTCTGGGCCATAACTTGGAAACACATAGTCATGGGGTTATAAATTTGAAATGGTTGAGGGCCCAACCCCAGAACCATATATACAATTGCTGGGACGTATAAAGACATGAACAACCATGATATTAGAACTGATCAAGGGGTCTGCCCACACTTTACACGACTTACTTTGTTGGTAACATCTTGTAAACAGTTGAGATCACCACCCCATAACAAATATACAATTACAGGGCATAAAGAAACAAATACAGTCATGCTACCCTTTGGGACTGCTACTGTTAAAAAAGGGACTTGCTCCCCGACTCATAACATGGAAACCTTTGAGATCCCATACCAAAATAAAAAAAATTGTAATAGCTGAGCATAAAGATTTTGATAAGGCTTTGTACCGGTGAGAAGCCCTATCACACAGATGTTATTTGCCTTAATTATTAGTAAATGAGAATATTGCCCTAATTGCTGATATATACAGGTGAGCGAATCATGTGCTTTGGGCCTCTTGTTTGAAAATGTTGCAACATTATGTGTTCTGCAATCTATCTTCTGTTAAGCTGTCAATTGTGCTCTGTGTGATGTTCCCTGACCTATTAGAAATAAAATAATGATACCAAAAAATGTCTGTCTTAATAGAAATGAATACAAACTGCTGAATAAAAAATCAGAAAGGAGGTGTTGCATGGTAGCCCACGACTGATGGAACTTATTTTAGCATAAACTAATTTACTTGCATAAAATACACAACAAACAATGTTCATTCCTCAAAAAGAACCAATTTGTGACTGCAGTGCCCCCTACATTGATTTTCAGGAAGCCCAGGACACCATATGCCTTTCATGCATAATATTTCGCTTATACACAAAACAAAAATCTTCTTCCATTGTTAAATGACACTTTCAATACCCTTTCCGATGGTATATAGCAATTGCCCATGTGTGATGTCATTTTCTTGCAAATTGCATTTTTATTCATTATTTGTCATAAACATTTTTTAACATTTTAATTTTTGCATTTTTCGTTTAAGTGACAGGATAAGCATGATACAGGTCTGGTTGCATCAAATTTTACACCTAAAAATATCTGTAGGTATCCATCTTTCTTGCATATAAATCTTGTAAAGATGTTTCACTGGATATGCCCACTTTTTGGAACTTCTTTCTTCGTGACCCCTTATCTTTTTGCTAAATATCAAAGTACTGAAAGTTTGGTGAGACGACTGTCACATGATAATAGAAAGAGTATTGTACACTATTTTTCAATATCAATTCGAACAGAATTTAGTATGGGACATTATGGGGAGATGAGAATCAGATTTTTTATAAATTAGGAATGTGACTCTGACTCATGTATAATTAATTCAGCTGGACTTTAAAAAGGGCTGCTTCAGTCATGAAATATGCACGCATTCGTTTCCGAACCTTTCTCCAGGTTGTTATGGATTTTAGAAGGTTTATGTAGCACAATCAGTTAAGTGTTTTTGTGTGAAATTTTGATTACCAGCACGGTATGTACGCTATCACCTTCATCAGACAAATGACCAGAGAAATGACATGTACAATGTACACAAATGTGCAAAATATGCACAAGTTGAAAATTACAATCGCCATCCAATAGGCTACGCTATACGTGTGTGTACACTTGTTATACAGTGAAATGAATCAAACCAACATATTGATTACCTTACACTTTGTTTAATGTCTAGTGAAAGATGTGTGAGAGTCTATTGGCCCCCTCATCTCGATTCAGAAGTGGCCCCATGTTGCATACGCAGGTTTCTTCCTTTCCCTACCACAAGAACTGATTGTTCTCGCTGTACATCCCAGTCAATAACTTGATTTTGACCAGTTCGGGAGGGAAAAATGTGTTTATTGGTGTTTTATGGATTACAGCTTGATGGATTGATAATGAATGTCACCAGGAAAAAGGTGCAATATCATATTTATCAATGGATGTTGGTTATGAAGAAAGGGGGCTGAGTTAGTTAGTCGCAACTTGCATATTTCACCTACAAAAAGCTGCTTCTCTACAGCAGTCTGACAAAGTTTAATGAAGTTCGGTATTAAAATAGCAACAAAAACACCAGATACAGAAAAGGTCATTAACTCTGTGAAAATTTCTTTTTCATGGTCTTATATTGGAATGCACAAGTACATATTCAATAAACCCGGTAAAATTGTTGAGAAGATTAAAAACTGATCAAGCAGATTTCCAGACATGATAGAAATACTGGAAAAGGGTGATAGCTCTTTTAAAGATAGTTGAATCCCAAAGTGAAAGCACTACTAGGTCATAATAGTAAAGACTGCATGTTTTCAGGATGGAAATCCGAAATCTCCAGACAAGATTTAAAAGCTGGAAAATTCTAAGGCAATAATTCTTTTTAAAAATCCTCTTACCTAACTTCTTAAAGTGAAAGCATAACTACACGTCAGGGTAAATCATAGCTAGTCATGCTGAATCATGGAGGATAATAGTTATCAATATTAATATCGCCCATTGTGTGTTCTTTTATTTTAATGCATTTTAGTTTTCCCCTTCTGGTTAAAGTTTCACTATGCCAAAATGTTACATTTAAGTGGTTTGACCTATATTTTGATGTCGCTTAGATGTCGATGAAGCAGATGCTTACCTTGTCGGAGAAATTGGCCTTACTTTGTGTTCTCAATGTGAATTTTCTATGGTTTTCTCTTCCTTAAGATATTTTGTTTAGTTTACAATTTCCTTACATTTATTGGTTTTAAGTGTTTACTACAATTTGGTTTGGGTCTTTTAATGGGAGGAAAATGCGAAATGCCCAAAATAGTCAGATATGGGCAAGTAAGGCTAATTAATGGTTATCAATCAAACTAAATATTGTAATGTAACATATGCATATTTACCAGTTGTCAGACTAAGTGGCGTTTCTGCATTACTGTATAATGTCAAATCAAGTGAACCAAGGTTAATGAATCACATTTTAAACTTTCCTCATACGACAACCGATCCTGATGTTACAATGAGTTTAAAATATGCAATATAGGAACACCTACTTAGGCTTTCTTTCACACAATATGACAACCGATCCTGATTCTACAATGAGTTTAAACTATTCCCATACGACAACCGATCATGATGTTACAATGAGTTTAACCTATCCTCATACGACAACCGAGCCTGATGTTACAATGAGTTTAACCTATCCTCATACGACAACCGATCCTGATTTTACAATGAGTTTAAACTAGCCTCATATGACAACCGATCCTGATTCTACAATGAGTTTAAACTATTCCCATACGACAACCGATCATGATGTTGCAATGAGTTTAAAATATGCAATATAGGAACAGCTACTTAGGCTTTCTTTCACACAATATGACAACCGATCCTGATGTTACAAGGAGTTTAAACTATCCTCATATGACTACCGATCCTGATGTTACAAGGAGTTTAAACTATCCTCATACGAGAACCGATCCTGATGTTACAATGTGTTTAAACTATCCTCATACGAGAACCGATCCTGATGTTACAAGGAGTTTAAACTATCCTCATATGACTACCGATCCTGATGTTACAATGTGTTTAAACTATCCTCATACGACAACCGAGCCTGATGTTACAATGAGTTGAAACTATCCCCATACGACAACCTATCCTGATGTTACAATGAGATTAAACTATCCCCATACGACAACCGATTCTGATGTTACAATGAGTTTTAACTATCCTCATACGACAACCGATCCTGATTTTACAATGAGTTTAAACTATCCTTATATGACAACTGATCCTGATGTAACAATGAGTTTAAACAACCTCATACGACAACCGATCATGATGTTGCAATGAGTTTAAAATATGCACTATAGGAACACCTACTTAGGCTTTCTTTCACACAATATGACAACCGATCCTGATGTTATAATGAGTTTAAACTATCCTTATATGACAACTGATCCTGATGTAACAATGAGTTTAAACAACCTCATACGACAACCGATCATGATGTTACAATGAGTTTAACCTATCCTCATACGACAACCGAGCCTGATGTTACAATGAGTTGAAACTATCCCCATACGACAACCTATCCTGATGTTACAATGAGGTTAAACTATCCTCATACGCCAACCAATCCTGATGTTACAATGAGATTAAACTATCCCCATACGACAACTGATCCTGATGTTACTATGAATTTAAACTAGCCTCATATGACAACCGATCCTGATTCTACAATGAGTTTAAACTATCCCCATACGACAACAGATCATGATGTTACAATGAGTTTATACTATCCTCATACGACAACTGATCCTGATGTTACTATGAATTTAAACTAGCCTCATATGACAACCGATCCAGATGTTACAATGAGTTTAAAATATGCACTATAGGAACACCTACTTAGGCTTTCTTTCACACAATATGACAACCGATCCTGATTCTACAATGAGTTTAAACTATTCCCATACGACAACCGATCATGATGTTGCAATGAGTTTAAAATATGCAATATAGGAACACCTACTTAGGCTTTCTTTCACACAATATGACAACCGATCCTGATTCTACAATGAGTTTAAACTATTCCCATACGACAACCGATCATGATGTTGCAATGAGTTTAAAATATGCAATATAGGAACACCTACTTAGGCTTTCTTTCACACAATATGACAACCGATCCTGATGTTACAAGGAGTTTAAACTATCCTCATAGGACAACCGATCCTGATGTTCAATGAGTTTAAACTATCCTTATATGACAACTGATCCTGATGTAACAATGAGTTTAAACTATCCCCATACGACAACCGATCCTGATGTTACAATGAGTTTAAAATATGCAATATAGGAACACCTACTTAGGCTTTCTTTCACACAGACGTTCAAAAATTGAACATATTAGACTTCTTAAAAACATTGGATCTATTGAAATCAAATGTGTTACTGGTGTTTAGAATGATTTCACAATCATGTGTGTTGTTTGTCAAGTCTATCTGAAATCAAAGAAGGTTGCCCTACCTAGATTTGCTGTCAATCATTCAATTTTCAATTGACCATGACCATCATTTTGAACTTCAACCAAAAATGTTTCAGACTATTGGTGTTCAAATTTGTGAAGTGCCATTGCATAATTCATTCCAATGATTGTTTTCGTGTTGATCAAATAAATCATATTGACCTTCATTCAAGGCTAGTAGTATCAAATCTATAATCTAAAACGAGTCTTCGCAGCAACCATTATACCTCAGGTTATGTTTTTTGAGCAGTAATGAAAATGGGATTAATGGCTTTTAAATAACAAATAACCTCGACCATCTTTCAAGGTCACAAAGGTAAAATGTGTTAAATCATATAAAAAACTTCATCTGAAAAACCATAAGTCCTAAGCTAGTGTCATGATATTTAAGTAATATGTTGCTAGAATGCAAGATTATGAATTTTTAAAATTTTGAATACAGGGTCTCCATTCAAGGTCACAGGATTAAAGCATAATGTTATGATTTAAATAGAAGCTAATATGAATGATAGGCTATCTTGCTTGTGCAAATAATGACCTTAACATCGTTTCATAGCCACAGAGTTGATATAGGTTCAGAAATTAAGACCTTAAGAGTTATAGCCTAAGCTAAGGGAATATTTGAATACCATATTTAATATTAATTTCATAACTGGTATAATGACAAAGACTGATTCAGGTTTTGTTTATTTCCCGGCGAAAACTTGCTATACAAGCTGTATATTTTCTGTCCGTTGGCCATGCCCAAACATGAAATCACTGTGAATATAGCATTATATACATTTCAGTTCTCCAAAACAAAAATTATATACCTCATGTCACTGGTAGGGTCTAGGGGCCTTTTTAGTCCCCTACCGGTGAAACCAGGGGGGACTATAGTTTTCCTCTCCGTCAGTCTGTGTACGTACGTACGTAACACCAATATTTGTCAGCGCTCTAGCGGCTTCATTCCTTGAGGGATTTTGATCAAACTTCACACAATTACAAAGGATAAGTTTAAGTTTCAGGGTTGTCGGGTCAAGGTCAAGGTCACGTTACTATTTTTAGAAAATCCTTGTCAGCGTTCTAGCGGCTTCATTCCTTGAGGGGTTTTGATCAAACTTCATACAGTTACAAAGGACCATAATATCGCGGACAAGTTCAAGTTTCATGGTTGCCTGGTCAAGGTCACCATTACTTTTTTTAGAAAATCCTTGTCAGCGCTCTAGCAGCTTCATTCCTTGAGTGATTTGGATCAAACTTCATACGATTACAAAGGATCATAATATCTCGGAGAAGTTGGAGTTTCAGGGTTGACGGGTCAAGGTCAAGGTCACCGTTACCTTTGTTNATTCTGTAAGGATGATTATGATATAAAAATGACGTGTCGGGTCATGTGTTTTCTGCAGCAAACATATATTGGTTATGTAATTCATTATAAAATATGAATTATTACTATAATTAACAAAAGCGTATCTTGCAGGTATTGCGAGTTTGATTTCATGCGATAAACACATGCAGTACATCACATATGCGTACTGTAGAACACATTTTCAAATGTATTTCTAAAATAAACAAAATAAAAAGGATTTCACCAAGGATTAAAATGTGAATTGATATTGATTAATTTTTAATGAAAATGCACAAAAAATGTGGCGCTGCAGTCACCTTCCATGTACATGTTGTTTTTGAGCATATTCCAATCAATTACTCAATACAGGGTTGCTGATTGCCATGCAAAGCGTTTTTAAGACCAGATGGCAGAACTGGTTTACTTTCATTACTTTGTTGATATTTGATGAAAAACAAAGGGGTAGTGGAAAAGAAGTTCCAAAAAGTGGGCATATCCAGTGAGTCTTCAACACAAGTTTTATATGCTAGAAAGATGAATTATTAAAGAAAATTTTAAGTGTGGAAATTTGATGGAACCCAAGTTTAACCTTGTTAATACTCTTACAAAAGCAAAAAAAGTCTATAATTGAAAAGTCATTGTTTGGGAGTATATTGACATGTTTATGTTAATTTGCGAAAGATATATATATCATATCGCCAATTGTTATATATCATTTTAAAGGTAATTGTATATGTTACTTAAATGTGCGTGCAGTTGCTATTATGCTTTTGTTATTGCCACACTGATCCATTAAAGGCACATTGTGAGGTAAATTTTTTGAACTTCAGTGGAGGGAGCGCGGCAGTCAAACTTGCGGTCCAGATGAAATTTAGGCGTTGTTTTTATACATTATTTGTTAAAATTAATTAGTTTACATCAAAACATCCAAAATTTATCTTGGACCAATTTTCACCTTCTATGCAACACCTCCTTTGTAAAATTCATGTTTTTGACACTGAACATTTAAACAAGAAAAGGATTTTCTCAGGCAGCTTTATAAATCATTAAAAAGATTCTGAACATTTACTACATCAGAATATTGAAGTTGTTCCCCTAAGTAGGGTCTAAGATAAAATTGCAATTTTTTTAGTTTGAGTGACATGGAGGGGGAAAACTTTTGAACAACACAGTTTATGGCTTATGTTGCGGAAAACATTTCAACTTGAGTAAAAACATTTCAACTTGAGTAAGAACACCTCCACATGAGTCAGAACACCTCAACATGAGTCAGAACACCTAGACATGAGTCAGAACACCTCAACATGAGTCAGAACACCTCAACATGAGTCAGAACACCTCCACATGAGTCAGAACACCTCGACATGAGTCAGAACAACTCAGCATGAGTCAGAACACCTCAACATGAGTCAGAACACCTAGACATGAGTCAGAACAACTCAGCATGAGTCAGAACAACTCATGCTTAACTTTAACTTGATTCCTGTACAGAATGTGTCAGTGACTTGGTCCTGGAATACTGTTCAGGTATTTTAAGGTTACTCCTTTAGCATTATATATTAAGATCAACTGAAATATTTTTACAGAATTCAGTGCAGGACAAAATGGGACTTATGGCGAGCCAGTTGTCCATTTTGGTGAAGACAGTCAGAAGCCAGAGCCAGATCCCAAGGTCAGAACAACCGTATCCTTTTGAATTAGATCCTGAGGTTCCACCTGAAAATGTAGAGACTACTGGAGTTGAGGAGGCTACAGTGTCCCAGCTGGAGGAAGAGATGGCTAGCCTGGGTATGAAACTTGGAGACACCACTGTAAATGTCCAATCTGCTGCCACAGAAACAGTCGATCCATCGTCCAGTACAGTTCACAAAATTCTTGAAGATACTGTTGACACAACATCTCGTCCAGTTCACAAAATTGTAGAAGATATCATTGCTTCAAAAACAGATAAAAATTCCATTGTAGACTCAAAAATAGAAAATATGACCAGTAATTCTTCAGCTGACTTTGAGACAACTTCAACTGAACAAGTTGTTTCTCCACCCCCCACAGAGTCTGTAGTTACCAAGACCATCCCTGTACAGAAAACCTCTCAAACAGCTGCTCCACGAAAACCCATCGTAAAGGCACCAGAACAAAAGGTAGGTAGGCTTGTTACCGGGTAATTTTGTTTTTGTTTAAAAATACCAACAGATATCACTACATGCTGTCTATTTTATTTTTTATTTTTCATTTTTTCGCAATGAAGGATATTACTTATAATATCTGACCATATAATTTGAGAATATAAATTATTGCTGAATTCCAATTGTGATTTCAAATATCATTGTTTAAAATTTATTCAGATGCATTTGAACAAGAGATATATTCTTCTCCCCAACTGGACAGAGATACCTCCCCTCCTGATCAGGGAGATATTTTGTCTTACCCTGTGTGGATACTGGATCACCAGCATGAATTATTGGCGTGTGTAAAACAAGGAGTTATTTGTTTGCACTCATGAAGAGTTGTCATTGAATTACAAAATGCACAAATATGTGGTATTGTTGTTGTAATTTTTAGCTCACCCGACCTTCCGTCCGGCATCAATATTTTACTTTAAACAACTTCTTCTTAATAACCAAGAGGCCTAGGGTGATGATATTTATCCAAAACTGGAAAGAAGGGCTACCAAGCTTGTTCATTTGAATGTTCTTGACAAATATTCAAGGTCACAGGGTCAAATATCTTAAAAAATTTAAACAACTTCTTTTGAATAACCAAAATGCCCAGGTTGATGATATTTGGCCAGTAGCATGCTGGGATGAAGGGCTACCAACTTTGTTCAAATGAATGACCTTCATCCATTTTAAAGGTCACAGGGATCAATTGTCTTAAAAAATCTTTAAACAACTTCTTCTGAATAACGAAGAGGGCTAGGATAATGATATTTAGCCAGTAACATGCTAGGATGAAGGGCTACCAAGTTTGTTCATATGAATGACCTTGATAAACATTCAAGGTCACAATGGTCAAATATGTTTAAAACCTTTAAACAACTTCCTCTGTAAAACCGAAAGGTCCAGGGTGATTTGGTCAGAAGGATGTTGGCATGAAGGGATACGAAGTTTGTTTAAATGAATGACCTTTGCTCATATTCAAGGTCACAGGGGTCAAATATGTTGAAATCTTTTAACAACTTCTCCTGAATTAGTAAAGCATACAGGGTGATTGCTTGTTGATGTGATACACTTTCATGGTCCATAGCGCATCAATCTTTAAAAGTCATCTTCTAAATAAACAAAAGGTATAAGGTGGTGATATTTTGCAAGTTGCATTCTGGGAGGAAGGGCTATGAAGTTTGTTCAACTTAATGTCTATGTTTGACTTTCAAGGTCACACTGGGGTCAAATGTGTTTTAATCGTTTAACAGGTTTTTCTGAATGACTTGTAGTCAAGACACTGATATTTTGCCTGTAGCTTTATTTTATTCCACTTTTAAGGTTACACTTGTGAGATTAATACCAGGTGAGCGATGCAGGCCCATTGGGCCTCTTGTTATATATTTGGTTCTGAGAAAAATGTGGGAGAAAAAGGAGGATGGGAAAGAAAAATCTCCACCATTGAAAGAGATTCTTGACAGTCTAACCCTCAGCTGTAGAAGCTTTGGATTAGACAGTGAAGAATCTCCTCTTTGGGGGTATTTTTGTGTCCTACCCTCAAAGTAGGAGACATCAGCTTAATCTGCTAATCTGCTATTGTTCCTATCATAAAATTAGATCCACACTTCAACATTTGCAGCATGATTAGAAGATTTGTAGTGTTGAAAATGATATGGTTACCTTACGATGTATGTCATTACTCTTTTGGTACTAATTACCATGACTGTGATCGTGTTTGTGTTGTAGCTGCGATCCTCGGCCAGGGAGAGGAAAGTACCAGCTAACATGGTCAGCAGATTGTCTAGCTATGGAGGTCAGTTACTAATACGGCAGTGTTTATCATCTACATCGGACTTGGTCAGTCAGACAAATTTTTCACAGCAAAATAAATTCAAAGATAAGTTACCATGTCGGATATAACTAGTTTTAGACCTCAAAGACATTTGCGTATCCAAAAATTAAGGTTACATTTGTAGGTCAGTTGGTAAAATTTGTTTTTCTTTCCTTTTTTTTAAACTTTTAACTTCCTACAATTTCAGTTAAATGTTAAATCTGTTGATAAACCTTTATCCTAACCACATTTACACTATCAAGATGTTTAAATATGGAAATATCTGGTTTGCTACTGGTGTGCAAATACAATGATCAATGATTTAGCATTTAGGTCACCTGAGATTAAGGCTCAAGTAGTACTATATTTATCAAGAAACATTTCTTAAAGAACCAAAAGGTCTAGATTGATGGTATTTGCATATATTATATAGACCAGCAGTGTGAATCTGTTTCTAATAGATTGTATTTATGTCAAAGGTAAACTTGGAGTTTGGTCAAATTTTTGACAGGGTAAAAAGTTGAAAGAATCTTCTTCCTAACTTAAGTAAGATCCATGCCAGGGTTCTGATATTTGGCCAGTAGGTCTGGCATAGAGTGCTTTAAACAATCATCATATAAATGACCTTGACTTACTTTCAAGGTCACATGGGTCAAATGTTTTAGAAACTTCTAGCAACTTTTCTAAACAACCAGAAGAAGGTCATGATTTAATTACCATTTGTGTGAAACTTATCTTATTCCTTCGGTCATTAAATGGTTGGCATTCCTACCGTATAACCATATATATGCTTGTTTGGCATGAAAAAAAGCAGCGTGAGTATGCTACCAGGATTAATTCTGGGGTCTGGCCCTGCCCCTGCCCCTGGGGATTTTTATGTATGCACCAGTAAATAAAATTAGTTTCTGGTCAGTGCATTGAAAAGAATAAGATCCCAAACTTATAACCAGAAACATAGACATGCAGAACTCAATCAGATTTTCATAAATTATTTTTGGCTCCAGGGACAGGGCCGATAATAGGGAGATATTTTGAAAAAACACTTTTCATCGGAATACTGATACTGGCCCTCTGGGCCTTTTGTAATTCTGCAGTAGTGGCACTGAGTTCCTGAAAGGGGAGTAGGGTATTCAAAGTGGATGATATTGTTTTGAACTGTAAAATATAATTCTTCAGACTCAATACTAGGGTAGAATTTCCTGTGTCAAATACTCTTTATGGAATAAAAGATGTGAAGTTGCTTTACTATGATCATAATTTCCATTCCCCCTAGGGGAGAGTGTAAGCTTTATTATAGTTAATAAATGAAAAAAAACTGTATTGGAGGGACCCTGACATCCGTTGCCCAACTCCCCTTGGGGACTGGGAGGGGTGAGGGGGGCAAAGTGGGAAAAGTGGTTAGAATTTCTTCTATATGGCCTCTGCTAAACCAAAACAAATGCTACAATTAAATAGTCTTCTTTGCTGGAAATGTCCAATGATATTTTATGAAAGTTGTGCTAATTCCATTTCCCCAGGTAGCCCAAACCACATGAGGTGCATGTTGTGGTCAAGTATAGCTCAAATAGAAATCTTGGGGATACATTTTATGATGGAAGAACTAGGAAGGACTAAAAACAATTACAAGCATGATTATTGCTATTTGTTTAGTTTTTAGCCATAGAATTACATTTTGTCTTCAATTTGACAAGCTTATAAATTGCACTTTTGACAGGACTGGCAGTGGGATTGTTGGCTGGAACCATAGGAGAAGTGAGCAAGAGAAAGCTCGGTCTGTCTAAACCAGCAGGTCAGTACATATGGCAGACCAAAGTCCAAAGGTTTCTAACATGATTCCTAGCAACCTACAAAATTACCTATATTTTTGATATATTCTATCTATAGATTTTTTTAAGCATAACAAAACTAATCAACAAGAGTCAAAAAATGAGAAAATGGTCCTAAAACGGATTTGAACCCTTGACCTCTTAGAATTATACTGTAACTCTAACCTGCTCCACTGAGCTACCTGGGGCCTGGTCGTTTATGTGGAACAACCGCTTTGACCGTTTATAAATGTAACAATTTCGGGTATAAATCCTGGCGGACCTGCAAATGTTTATGCAGGCCTTGCAAGGCTTTGTCAATGCTTGCCTGAAAGCAGCACCAGATTACTAGGTCCGACCTTATTTAATTAACGAACAACAGTGGTCCGACTGGTTTGACCGTTTAAACGAAAACAGCCCTGGTCAACGGTAGTCAAAATAAAATTAAGGGGAGGATACTGCATGCAAGAAAAACCACAGTAGAGTTCTTTAGTGTTTTGCCTGCAGTGGGACAGGTATTCATAATATTAGATACATGAATTGTGGAATGGCGAACAAAAACAACCTGAGGTCCTTCAAAATGTTTGCTTATGGAAGAGATCTGAAAATACTGATAAAAAATGACTTTCTCCTTCTCAGGTTCCCTCAGTACTGCTAGTATCTTTATAAATGAGGCCAATGCTGAGAGGGTAGTGAATACACTGTGTCGGGCGAGGGGTGCCGCTCTAAAACTCGGACAGATGATCAGTGTCCAAGGTAAGTTATCCCAAGTGAACCAGCATTTTTAGTTTTTGAAATTAACTCTTTGCAATTCACAAAATATGACTTACAGTGAAATGAATATGAGTAAGATAAGTGTGGGCTCAAACATATCTGCATAACTTTTTTTTTTTTCGAAAATAAATGACAACTTTCCATGTTGGCTATCGGCTACTACTGTCAGGTGTCAATATTTTTGCTGTCAGTGATTAGAGATATGTGCAGAAGTCCTTTAGGTTTTATGATAACAATAATGTACAATAAAATCATATGGTCAGATGGTGTTTAATTCCACTTGCATGACAGGCCTAAAGCCCAGGTTTAGTGACTCTTTACTGGGCTGGGTGCTCCACAATGTGGAAATATTCAGCTGTGAACCTCCATTAAACACTTATCATGCAGCTAGCCTCTGACAGGATAACTGGTCAAACTAATTGGTCAAACTAATGAGATTTAAATAGCAATCTTAATTAGGTTAACCATATACTTCCCTCTCACACAATTCCCTGAGTTCAGTAACAATACTATCTAGGTGCATCAAGCGCTTAGTTTTCTCACAGATAGAATAAAGAATTCAAGCACACAAGTAACCTCAAATCTAACAGTTTTCCAACACACATGTGTATTCTGTCTTCCAATGTATGCCTACTTTTCAGCGATATTTTAGACAACTGTTCATAAATTATAAGGTGACAGTTAATTATCGTATGACTGGGATTGTTTGGACTCATGGAGTTGAAATTCAACACATCTTACAGCTGTAGAGGGTGATCGTGGATGTTCAAGTTTCTTAGACAAAATTATTTTTAACTTTGTAAGTAAAAGTCCAATACTTTCCGACATGATCAGGTAATCAAATGACAGCTATTTGGTGATGAAATAGCTTCATGGTATGAGCATATTAAGGAGGCTCCACCCTTTCGCAATTAGCCAGCAGAATTCAATGAAAGTTTCACATAATGGTTATGTCACTATGTAGAGATGATTTTATGAAAATCTAAGCATTCTGATAAACTGGGGATTTTTTTGTAAAAAATACTGAAACATTGAATTTTTGTCAAATTCAACACTTTTACATTTTTTGAGCATGTGGCATTGTTCAAAACTATAACAACAATAAAATAATGAAAAGAAACATTGCTAATCAACCCTACAACTATTTTATTTATCATAAAATATCTACAACATGTTACAAAAAGCGTTTTTTATTGAAATTGTATGGATAACAGTTACTAAATACAAGGTAAAAGCAAACAGGATACATAGTTTCATACAAAAAGACTGAAAAATTGAACCAAATACACACAAAGTCTTTATAATTAATTTATTTTACATTTTACAATAATTTTTATCCTGATGAGAGTTGTCTACCTTGAAAAAAAACGGAACTTTTTGCAGAGGGATAGAATTTATACAATGACACTTATTTTCTTTACTATACCAAAAAACGAAGGAAGTGATTTAAATTACTAGATTTAATTGTCAATTTACTGTTCTTTTATGGAACAAAATTACTCTCCATCATGTACACTTTGGACATCATTCCATAGCCTGCTTACGCATGGTATATTAACATGTCAGGTACATATGTAACCATAGGCTATCGCATGGTATGCTGTTATTACGTGCACGCACATGCACTTGCATTTTATAGGGATTTTGATATTTTACAAACCACTTTTTAACAGAGTTATTGTAATTGCATTTGTGAACCGATTTATCTGACAGAGCGTAACTCGCTCGACAACAAAAGTCGTAGCGACCAAGAGCTTGTGAACTACTGTTAGCATGTGATACGTACAGGTGAGGTCGGTAAACAAAACACATCAGTCTGCATTCCATGCGCCTCATATACGACCTTCTTGGAAGTCTTCTGATCATATGTCAGTGTTTGCCCGTGAGTTAATTAATGTCTTTGTATCATAAGCTTTATTTCTGAAGTACGTGTGATTACACATTTCCAAGTTATGTCTCGATATCGGGTGTTGACATATCATCGTCACGCACGTGTACTATTGTTTACCCGGTGTTACTATAATTTACATCACGGTAATGGAATGCCCGATACGCAATACGGAAATGACGACACGAAAATACGAAAAGAAAAACATGTGTATTACGAAGGGTGGAATCTCCTTAACAAGAATATATATTTCCTAAAAATGACCAATTATGAAAAGTGTGATTTCTATTATTTTTTAAATACAAACAAAAAATTCATCGTCAGCTTAACGCTTTTGTGTCGAGTCACATTGATCTTTTATCAAAGTATTGCAGTATGAGTATGTTAATTTAGATGTTTAATTTCAGTGATATTGATTTACATTGTGTATTTTGTAACAAAAACACTGCTATAAATTTTGCTATTTTATAATCCAATTTTGCTAGTAGATATTTCAGGTGTTCGCAATGATTTTTTAGAGATCAAAAATAATTAATTTCACCCCCTCACATAAAGGAACAAATAGGATAAATGTTTGCAAAAATTGTAGGTAGGGCACTTAGTGTTCTCGCATTCACCTGAATTGCTAGTTTAGTGTAATTAGAACTGATCAGTCTGAATTTCCAGTTCAATGGGATTAGAACTGATCAGTCTGAATTTCCAGTTCAATGGGATTAGAACTGATCAGTCGAAATATCCAGTTCAATGGGATTAGATCTGATCAGTCGGAATTTCCAGTTCAATAGGATTAGAACTGATATGTGATTTTGTACTTCCTATTTCAGATACAGCGGTAGTTCCCCCTGAGATACAGAAGATATTTGACAGAGTCAGACAAGGGGCAGACATTATGCCCACATCACAGATGTTGGTGAGGATAACTCTGGTTATCTAATAGTTCACTTTAACAGTCAGGGGTCAAGGTGATAGTTCACTCTAACTGTCAGGGGTCAAGGCGATTTATATATTGATGACAAATCAGCCATAATAAATACATTTATTCATAAGGATGTTTTGGCACAAATGTCCTTGATCAGTGTATCATTCAGATGAGCATCCCTGCTGTAATAGCAGGGCAATCCCAACAAAGGTCATACCAAAGAATAGTGCTAATTTTGTTGACTGTTCATTTGTTGCTAATCCTCAAAAGGATAAGCAGTTACTGTTGTGTTGGGGGAAGTCAGTGGTCAGTACACTCCCTTTCACCATCAGACGTGTTGTGGTTGGGACAGCCAGTGGTCAGTACACTCCCTTTCACCAACAGACATGTTGTGGTGGGGACAGCCAGTGGTCAGTACACTCCCTTTCACCAACAGACATGTTGTGGTGGGGACAGCCAGTGGTCAGTACACTCCCTTTCACCAACAGTCATGTTGTGGTGGGGACAGCCAGTGGTCAGTACACTCCCTTTCACCATCAGACGTGTTGTGGTGGGGACAGCCAGTGGTCAGTACACTCTCTTTCACGATCAGACGTGTTGTGGTGGGGGAAGTCAGTGGTCAGTACACTCCCTTTCGCCATCAGACGTGTTGGGGTGGGGGAAGTCAGGGGTCAGTACACTCCCTTTCTCCATCAGAAATGTTGTGGTGGGGGAAGTGAGTGGTCAGTACACTACCTTTCACCATCCGATGTGTTGTGGTGGGGAAGGGTGTGGTCAGAACACTCCTCTTTCACTATCAAATATTTTGTGGTGTGAGTAGGCAGCGGTTAGAAAACTCCCGTTTCACCATTAGACGTGTGTTGGTGGGGCAAGACAGTGGTCAGGACACTTCCTTTCACCATCAGAGGTGTGGTGGGGGGGGGAGTCAGTGGGCAGTACACTCCCTTTCTCCATCAGAAATGTTGTGGTGGGGAAGGTTGTGGTCAGAAAACTCCCCTTTCACTATCAAATATTTTGTGGGGTGAGTAGGCAGTGGTTAGTACACTCTCTTTCACGATCAGACGGGTTGTGGCGGGGACAGCCAGTGGTCAGTACACTCCCTTTCACCATCAGACGTGTTGTGATGCGGAAAGGCAGTGGTCTGTACACTCCTGTTTCACCTTCAGATGTGTTGTGGTTGGGGAAGGTAGTGATCAGAACACTCCTGTTTCACCTTCAGACGTGTTGTGGTGGGGAAGGTTGTGGTCAGAACACTCCCCTTTCACTATCAAATATTTTGTGGTGTGAGTAGGCAGTGGTTAGTACACTCCCGTTTCACCATTAGACGTGTTTTGGTGGGGCAAGACAGTGGTCAGTACACTCCCCTTACACTATCAGATGTGCAGTAAGTAGGAAATACTTGATCACAGGGTTTCTTTTCAGGCACTCCATAGTTCCAATGTTTAGACCACTTTTGCAATCGGTTATGACAAGTGTGATACATATAAGTTCATAAATGATTTTATATCAGTTCAAAAAGATGGAGAATTGTAACAGATCACTTTTCTCCAAACAGTCATTTTCTATAAAGTCAAGTTAAAACAATGAAGCATTCATCAAATGTCTGGATTGGTTTTTAACTGGACTGAAATGAGCTGAATTAAACATATAAAAATAAATCTATCAGGTACCAAAATTTTGGTGAAAGGAGAGTTTGCTCTACCATAAAGCTAATCGGTTAGACTATCCACTTAAGTTAGTTCATCGATCAATGATATTCGTATTCTTTGAACAAGTCATATGGTACAATATTTTTTACAGAAAACAGTTACAAAGAATTTGAGCCCAGGCTGGCAAGATTTAGTGGACCTGGAAGAGAAGCCATTTGCATCTGCATCCATTGGCCAGGTCCACCGTGGGGTGATGAAAGATGGCAGGAAGGTGGCCATGAAAGTTCAGGTAGCTATAGGAGTCAAAAGTTCAGGTATATAGGGGTCACAATTTCAGTAGCTTTAGGGTCAAAAGGTCAGGTAGCTATAGGGGTCAAAAGTTAGTTTGCTATATGGTCGAAATTTCATGTAGCTATAGGCATCAAATGTTCATGTAGCTATACGGGTCAAAAATAAGCATCAATTCAAATTTCAGGTGGGCATGTATTCTCTGATTGTCAGTTTAATATCAGTTTAATGTTTGCTGTAAATAGATTTTTTGCATGTGAAGTGATTCATCTGTTCCAAGTACAAAAACCGTGAAAATTAAATGTATATTGCAGGAAGACATTTGTATTTTTGATAGCATTATTAGTTCACCTGCCCGAAGGGCAAGTGAGCTTATGCTATGGCGCATTGTCCGTCGTCTGTCATCCTTCGTCCGTCGTCCGTCATCCTTCGTCCGTCGTCGACTTTTTCTTTAAAACCTATCTCCTCCTAAACACCAAAGAGGATTTCAATCAAATTTAGTCTGAAGCATCACTAGTGGAGGGCAATCATTTCTTAAATAAATGAGGTTGGTTCGACCCCTTGGGCCAGGGGGGCGGGGCCCTGAAGGGGAACTTAGCTAAATTCGCTTAAAAACTCATCTCCTACTTATTGCCTGTGAGGATTTCAACCAAATTTAATCTGAAGCATCACTAGGGGAGGGCAATCATTTCTTAAGTAAGTGAGGTTGGTTCGACCCAGAGGCCAGGGGGCGGGGCCCGGCCCTGATGGGGGACTTAGCTTAATTTGCTTTAAAATGCATCTCCTCCTAAATGCCAGAGAGGATTTCAACCAAATTCAGTCTGAAGCATCACTGGGGGAGGGCAATCATTTTTAGCTCACCTGGTCCAAAGGACCATGGTGAGCTTATGCCATACTGCAGCGTCTGTCGTCCGTCTGTACGTCTGTGCGTCAACAACTTCTTTAAACGACTTCTTCTTCTTAACCACTGATTGGATATCAACCATATTTGACTGGAAGGATCCCTAGGTGGTTGGAATTAAAAATTGTACAAATGATGGGGTTGACCCCCCAGGGGGCTAAAGGGCGGGGCAAAAAGGGGTCAATTTGGCAATATTGCTTTAAGCGACTTCTTCTCTGGAACTAAGAAGTGGATATCAACCGTCTTTGACTGGAAGCACCCCTAGGTGGTGGGGATTCAAAATTGTACAAATGATGGGGTTGACCCCCCAGGGGGCTGAAGGACTGGGCAAAAAGGGGTCCATTTGGCAATATTGCTTTAAGCGACTTCTTTTCTTGAACTAAGAAGTGGATATCAACGCTATTTGACTGGAAGCATCCCTAGGTGGTGGGGATTCAAAATTGTACAAATGATGGGACTGATCCCCCAGGGGGCTGAGGGGCGGCCCTGCCCCTCAGCCCCCAGGGGGGTCAACCCCATCATTTGTACAAGTTTATTTGGTTCGACCCCAGAGACCAGGGGGGCGGGGCCAATAGAATTGATCCCAGGGTCTTCCCCACCCTTGCAGACTTAACCCCTGGGTCATAACTTTGAAACGGTTGAGATCCCCACCCCAAACCTATAGATACAAATGCTGGGCAAAAAGAGACAAATGCAGTCACGATATTAGAATTGATCCTGGTGTCTGACCACAACCCTAGGGACCTAGTTTCTGAGTCAAAGCTTGGAAACAGTTGAGATCCCCACCCCATAACCATACATAAAATTGCTGAGCATGAAAAATCTAATACAGATATGCAACAAGGATTGGCCTTAGGGTCTGGCATATTCCCTTGATCTCATTTGGAGAATATTTTGCCATGATTGCTTTGGTATCCAGGTGAGCTATACAGGCCCTCTGGGCCTCTTGTTGGTATGATATATTGACAGTACCCTGTAGTAATATGTCCCTGTATATATTATAGCATATTGGTATGATGTATTGACAGTACCCTGTAGTGATATGTCCCTGTATATATGATAGCATTATTGGTATGATATAATGACAGTACCCTGTAGTAATATGTCCCTGTATATATGATATCATTATTGGTATGATATATTGACAGTACTCTGTAGTAATATGTCCCCTGTATTAAGTATGATAGCATTATTGGTATGATGTATT